CTACATACCTTGACTGGTGATATATATATACATCTCAGGCTGAAAGGTACGTGAGCTAATGCGTATGCAGTAACCAGTGGGTGCTCTCTTGCACAACATGTTCTGTGTCTGGACCTTGAATATATGAAACAGTCAGTAAAACTTCTGGGATTTCTGCTGTCTGTATTCAATACCACTGAACGAAAACACCCTTAAGTCATTCACTCCTGACATTACAACCTGGCCTGCTTCGATTTGCTTTGACCAAGTAAGCATGTTGTTATTGTACATGAGACACACTCACCTTAGGTAGCAATCTCTGGTCATTAGCACTTCCCCTCAACTTGTGGAGAAGGTCTATTACTATCCTTTGATTTCTGTTAGTGCTGCTAACCTGTACAGACCTGTTGAAAGATTCTAAATTTTACCTCAAAAGTAGAAGTTTAGCCAGGTGTGCAAGCACACAACCACGTCTAAAAAAACAAGAACACAGGTTAAAATATATACGTACACACCAAAATTCTGCTCCCTCTCTCCCTTCTGAGTTCTCTGTAACTGTGATGGTAATCGGCCTAGGCTCCTCTGGATGTTCAGTGCACTTATTCCCCAAGCCTTCAAAACTGTAAACACCTTCCCATGCCGATGCCTTTCAAGCTGGAGCAGCTGGCAGTGACAAGCCTCCTCAGGGTTCCCTGGCTCGCTGGTTGTACTGCAGTGGGAATCCAAATGTCTGCAGAGGGTTGAGGAGGACAGAGCCTCACAAAGTGGGTGACCTAAGACACTCAGACAGCGAAGGGTGCTACACTGTTTTACCACTTGCTGAACTTCCCGAGCTGCTTCTGCAAAGCATCTGCAATCAGATGGGTGGCAAGGACCTAACAAGGACTCCCAGATGCAGCTTTCAGAGCTATTATGCAAATGAGATGTTTCACGCTTGCTGGTTTTGTTTCACGCTTTCCTTGTACGTGTTAACACTGCAGGGGCACTGCCTCCTGACTGTCACACAAGCCCTCACCCAGCACAGGGCTCCGGGCGCACTGTGCATCTCAGTGAGTCTCCAAGTCCAGGAGAAGCTACCTGGCCAGGGCCAGGACTCACTGCTCACCTCGAGAATGGTGGGACTGCTCTTCGAGGTGTCCAACCCCAAGACTTGGAGAACAAAACCAAGAAGGATAAACGGGCTAATGAGCAGCCATCTGTCCCTTCCCCATGGTCAGCCAGGATCCAGGAGACATGGGGCCTTTCTAAGGGCACCTGCGACTCCAGTGAGTCATCTGAGCTCCCCATCAGGGAGAGAAAGGGCCCTCGATGACGAGCCAGCCAGTGTGGCTTCTCCAAATGGCAGGGCACTGCACCGGGGAATGTCACAGTCCTTCCAGAGAAAGCCAAGCACTCAGTGAGACCCTGACCCTGACCCCTCCCATCAGAGGACAGAACTGAAGAGGCAAAAATCCTAAAGCAGCCAAGATGTTCTTCACAAGAGCCCCAGATCAACTGCTGAGGAGCCGTGACTGATCTTAACAGTATAGAGGAGAAAGGTGATTTTGGCTGATGTGAGTCACCTACTGCTTTTCTAACACTCAGCAGGATAGTGTAAGCAGAGAACTGACGGCAACAACAAAGACCCCAAACAGACAGCTGGACCGTATGGAAAAGGCATCAGCTGTCTTAAGAGCTGCTCAAAATAAAAGGCACCGGTGGCCGAAATGCACACAGAGAGAAGCTAGGCTCCTGTGCTCTGCACCACTCCTGTGGCACCCCAGCCCACACAGGGCTGCGCTTCCCGGGACAGATGTGATTCCTCACACAGAGACGTGACACTTGAACTCCCTCGGGCAGTGAGTCTGCTCCCATGACCTGAGCTGGGGCCCTCGGGGTGACTCCGGCGCCACACTGGGAGGGTCTGGGGACAGCAGAGCTGCCCAAGCAGAGGCCCTCGTCCCCCTCAGCACTGACTCCAGAACTTCTGGGGCAAACATAGGTCATGTTGCTTCCCCGCCTCCATTGCTATCCCAGCAGACCCGTTAGGAACTCCATTTCCTCACACTCTTGTCTCCTGGAAGAATCAGGACTCTGGAGGCACTGGCCTGAGTGACTGCCCTCACACAGGGTCCCACCTCGGGTCCCAGTGCCAGAAACGGGGGGAGAGGTCTGCATTCACTAGGAGTGCAGTCCCTTCCTCATGCCCTGTGCTGTACCTCTAAACTGGGGAATGTACCTATGTGCCCGTGCAGGCCTGCGAGCCAGGATGAAACTCCACCTTGTTCTACTGTGGGTTTGCATTCGGTTTTGTTTGGGATGGGGTCTCAATATGTAGTTCAAGCTGGCCTTAAACTCCCAGCGATCCTCCTGCCTCAGCCTCCTGGGATTAAAAATGTGTGCCACCACTGGGTTAACATCTAGGAACCAGGTCTTCCCTGTCTTTTCCAAATTTGGTGTGGCATAAAATCACACAGATCATTTTGACTTGGGCATTTGAAAGTCATTTTTGGTATATATTTGATTCTGTTGTAAAATGTATTTTACCATCCCATCAGTTTGTGGGTATGTAAATGTTACATCTTTTGCTTTAACTGCGACTATAAATATCTGCTTTGAAAAAGTTACTATCTTATGCTAAAAGCTAGTTGTCTCCACAGTTTAAATATAATTTTTAAGGCACTTGTTTTAAATTTCTCTCTACCACAACCAGTTTAGCACTAAGGATTATTTTAAGAATGTAATACTTGACCACATATAGCATTTCTTAAAATTGAGCGTTACTTCTAATAGTTGGCATGTAATACAAGTGTAACAAAACCACCTCTGACCTACAAGATTGCCCATTTTATCTTTGTCATTTGGCCATTAGCTGGGGAAGTTTTCTATATATTATTACATAGCATTACACATTTATGTCTATTTTAACATTAACTTCTAAAGAAATTTTTTCTAAGACAATTTGTTTCAAGGCAATTTTCTTTTTTAGTCTGCCAAAGATAAACAATAGGATTTTGTGTATTCAGTGTATGCTTTTTCCTTCACATAGAATTTTGAAATTATTGGGGTTTTTTTTGTTTTTTCTAGTACCAGCAATTGAACTCAGGACCTTGCGCTTGCCAGGCAGGCATGTTGCTACTGCGGTAAATCCCTGGCCCTACTGTTTTCATTCTGTATACTGCACATTTCCATGATCATTGCTGCTTGCTTTATGAACTGGCCTTCTCAATGCTTGATGATTTTTTAAAAGGTGTTATACTTGACTCAGGAAAATAATGTTACTGTAAATTTTTACTCCTTATTTGAATACTATAGTTATAGCAATTTGTTAAGTTGCTATATTCAAAACAAATGTGGATTTAATATTGGTTCTTCATCTATAAATTTTATAACAATTTAATACAGGTTAATGCTTAGCCAATACTAAGAAATTAAATATAGTTGATACAGTAGATGATACAGATTACATGTGGACCCTCAGGCACCTTAACAACTTGGACAAAAAAGAACCAAATGGCAAGAGTATAATGAATTCTCAGGTAGAATGTTATTCGGTTATGAAACATCTATTTTGAATTTGTAAATATTTTAAATGTTTCACATGCCTGGTATCCCAGCACTCAGGAGGCTGAGGAAGGAGGATTGCGGGGAGTTCCAGCCCAGGCTGGGCTACATATTGAGTTCAAGGGCAGTCTGAACTACATAGTGAGACTTTGTCTCAAAAAAAAAAAAAAAAGTGTTTCATTAAGGCATGTAATAAATTATTCTTTGAAACATGTTGGGTAAAATGAAAATTTAAAGCCATAATGGTAAAAGATGACATACTGACTGCAAAACAAATAACATTATTTTTTGTATTTTTCATAGTACAGTTTTTGGTTTTTGTTTTGGTCCTGGGGATCGAACTCGGGTCCTTGTGCTTGCTCAGCAGATGGTGAAACCACTGAGCTAAATCCCCGGGCCCTATAGTACAGTTTTTTATAATTTTCTAACAATGCAACAAAACCACTGAACTTGTATATCCATGTCCTATTAAAACCATGTTTCAGTAAATAAATAAAGGGCTGGGGATTTAGCTCAGTGGCAATGCACCTGCCTCACAAGCACAAGGCCCTGAGTTCAATCCCTGGTACCAGAAAAAATTAATAAAATAAAAGCTACCCTCCTGATCTTAACTGCTTTCTACCTCTCCCAGCCGCACTCACTGCAATTTTACTAATTGTATTTGACTGGTGCTTATTTAATTTGGCCCATGCTTGTTTAATTTTTTTAAGTCTGTCTTCCAGGTGATTGCGATTCCATTCAAGTCATGGTCATGCACAGCTTCTGTCCTACACCTGTACCTGATGCCAGCAGCACAGCACCTGATGCCGCCGCCAGACCTAGGTCAAATGTGGGGTGTTCTAGTCCCCCACAAGCAAGGTGGCAGCAGCTCTAAGAGACAGGCCACTGTCCTCCAGCCCCTCTTCGCTGAAGGAAGACGGAATCCCTGGGCGGGGCCATAAGGTGGGGAGCAAGTGGAAAGTTCAAGTAGGTTAAATCATTTGTTCAGAGCTAACCAGCAAACGAGCCACAGAGACAGCTCTGAATGCATGATTGGTGTGGAACCAAGGCAGGGGCTACGGGACTCTGGGGTAGCCGCTGGGGTGAAAGGCACGAGCAGCTAAGACTCCATCAGTGGGGCAGCCACCTCTGTCAATGTCTGTTTCTTCCCCATAACAGAAGTTTCAGTAGCCACTGCCCGCACTGGCTGGACACCCCCTCCCACTTGTCTCTGGCCTGGAGCCCTCGGCCCTGTCCGCAGTCAGCACCCCGCTGGGCAGCTCAGCCTGCTTCCCCTCCCAGACAGCGGTGCTGCCATTACGGGCATCAGCACGTGGGTGGCGCTGTTACCTCCCCTCTCGTGTCCTTCCGTCCCTGAGAGGGTGACAGGAGGGCAAGCCACATCTGCCACTGCAGGAGCAGGGCTGAGTAGGTGGTGGTGGACTCGCCGAATGGAGGGAGGGAATGGCGGCACCCTAGGCCAAGCCCTCAGCTCTCACCTGGACAGTTACCAGGGCCTCCTCACTCTTCTTGCTACCTTCACTCTCTCTTCCTTCATTCCAATCCACCTTCCACAAGTGCTGACAAGAGCTCTAGAAAACACATGTGAGCCTGTCACTCCCTTGATTAAGAGGCCAAAGTCCCCCCAGCCTCCAGTGTTAGGTCCACAGTGTTCAGCAGGACAATCTGGTTCTGATTCACCTCTCCTGCGTTTACTCCTCCACTCCAAGCACCGCACCCGAGATTCGGCCACGCTGTTACCTGATGCTCCACTGAACACCAGGTAGGTTCCTTCATCTTTTATTGGTTTTTGTTTTTTTCTTTGGGTAACTGAGATCAAACTCAGGACCTTGCGCTTGTGGGGCAGGTGCAGTGCCACTGAGCTACATCCCCAGCCCAGAGCGTTTGGGGTTTTTTTGGTATCGGGGATTGAATCCAGGTCCTTGCGCTTGCGAGGCAGGTGGTGGAACCACTGAGCTAAATCCCCAGCCTCTCAGCTTTTGTTTTTTAAAACAGAATCTGACTATGTAGCCCAGGCTGGCCTCAATCTCGAGATCCTACTGCTTCAGCCTCCCATACCTCCCTTTATGGGTAAGTGCCACCGCGTGCTGGCTTGTTTCCTCCAGCAGTAAAAGCCTCTCTACCTTTTTCCTGCTCCTATAAATACCCTTCCAGACCCAGATCAGATGGCACCTGCTAAAAGCACTTCTTGAACTTCCCCCACTAAGCTAAACTTTTTTGTTTGTTTTATTTTGGTACCAGGGATTGAATACCAGGGCCTTCTCGCTGAGCTGCATCCCCAGCCTTCTTCCATTTTTCATTTTGAGACAGGGTCTTGCTAAGTTGCTGAGTTGCCCAGGTGGGCTTGAACTTGTGATCCTCCTGCCTCAGCCTCCCAGTGCTGGGACTTCAGGTGTGCGCTACAGCTCCTGGCTTCCAACTTAAAAAAAAAATTTCATGTCTGATCCACACCGTGTGACAGCACCGGTGCCACTGCTGTCCCTGTCCACCCCTAAAATACTAGGATGCTCAGGCCAGCCCAGCCACCACATGTGCAGGCGAGGCTTAGGGCGACAATGAGGTGGAGCTTGAGAACTAACCTCTCCTCCCACCCATACCACCTTGCTAAGTGACCCAGAGAGCGCACTTACCTTCTCTGATGCACTCACCGCCCACCCTCCCACACACAAGCACTCTGACACCCAAACACTCAAACCGGTGCAAAGCACTACATGATAACTTCTTTGAACACCACTCCTGGCCCCTGGGGAACACAACCCGGTGACCCTCGCTCTTGGACGTCCTGACCAGACTGACGAAAATGAATCCACACAACCAAAGGATGTCCTTTCTGTGCAGGTCAACCAATGTTAGCCTCCAACTGTAAATACCAACCTGGTATGGAAACCTACACAGTGCTGCCAGTGCGGAAAGCCATCTTTCAGATAAATGAGAAGGGAGTACGCGATGACTCATGCTTCAGTCCTGAGATGGAGGCTTGCAGCTGCACCAGGGCAGGCCTGCTTCTGGCTGCTCTTGGGGACCCGTCCCCAGCCTCGACACAAACCTTTCTTGTTCTCTGAGTGGCATTCTGTGCCATCCCCAGCCAGAACTCCTCTGATCTTGTTTACCAACAGCCGGGCACATGGTTCCAGCCCCATCCCCTCTGTCACTTTCCTCTACCCAAACACAAACCAAACCTACAGGACTCCAAACTCACCAAGTCTGCTGACAGTGCAGAGAAGGCTGACTCTGTGCCTCCCCTTCAGCTACTTAGGAATCATTACCTCAGATGTTTATAAAATTTATGGATAATATGTTTCCTGCTTAGGTGCTTTTAAAAAGGGGAAATGGGGTTAAAGACTCTTCCTCCTGACGCCTGCCTCACAAGAGCAAGGTCTCAAGTTCGATCCCCAGTACCAAAAAAAACACCTCTTCCTCTACAGTCTGTCAGTCCAGATGGCCAGTTCTGTGTGTACTCTAGAAAAGACAGCTTCTCCAAAAGATTTCACAGATCTACTGACAGGGCCGAGCAGGAGCACATGGGCGGATACGGACACGTGTGGACAGCGCATTCCGTGACTGCAAAAGAACCAGAATTTTAGCTACAGTCTGTCACATTTGGGGAATATTCTTCCCCAAACAAAATCATTTCTTACAAAGTAGAATCTGTAACATGTAATGTGTTTCTGTTCCAGTTAATGCCATCAAAACCATGCCAAGGGCAGGGGATTTGGTTCAGTGGTTCTGGCGTGTGGCCTGCCTCGCAAGTGCAAGGTCCCGAGTTCAATCTCCGGTACAAAAAAAAACCCATGCCAAAATGCAAAGCCGCTCGTCCTGACGGAACGCTTGCACTGAGGGCTGAGGAACAGGAGGGCTTGGAGCCTAGGGCTAGCCCAGCACGCCTACCGCATTTGCACCTTCTGCAAGGTGAGCCATACTGCAAGGCGAAAGGGCATCACGTGCGTCAGGGCAACGCCTGGAGTAGAGGGCTCAATGGGCTTCCCGACTCCACTCCACTCAGCTACCACATGTGCCAAGCCTCACAGTCCTGACCCCTTCCTGAACAGGCACGGCAGAGAGCTCAGAGTGAAAGACAAGATGCTGAACCCCGTGCAAACCACCGGACAGGCGGGCAGAGGCCACATCGTGTCCTTCACTTTTAAGTGCAGGACTTCTAAATGTCAAAGGCGATACTATGGCAAATATTTTTCAAGAGCAAAAGAATCACCCCTCAGGGAAACGCCCATGGGGCAAACATGCAAAAGCTTTAACTGAAATGTCACTAAGTTCTCCAATATGCGTGAGTTTTCTGGTGACCTGAACAAGGTTCTGAGTTCTCCATTTTCTTCTTTAAATGATACATACCAAATGACTGCGCCGTGCCTATCTCCATTACAGAAGAGTTTTAAAGCCCCTGCTGTGAAAACCTGAGCATGCCCCACAAAAATGCACAAAACAGTTACCCCACAGAGAACAGGAAAAAGTCACAAATTAATTCACCACATTTAAGCCTGGATAATACTAGGGAGGACAGCTGAAAAACGTTTACAAATGGGCTTAGCCTGAAGTGTAAAGAAGGCCCACTCCCCTGGGTAAGCCCGTACACACTCGGAAAGGGATTCTTAACAGCTAAGACAGGGTGCTACTTACTTCCTCATTAAATAGTTTGCTAGTTTCTTTTTTGATTGGGTCTATAAGCTGGACTTGGCCTGCAGAAAAGCCCACTAGGAGAGAGACACTCTCTGCTGTGGCTGTTAGGTGGTTGAAGTCATGACAAGTAGGCTGTGTTCCTTTGTATATCCTTTTATCTATTGGTTTACTCAAGTCAGCAGCCTAGAGGAGAAAGAGAAAAATACACACAGTGAACAGCACGTTGAGGCGACAAATCTACGTTACTCTATTTTACACTCCGTATGATGCTCAATCTTAAAAACAAAGTTACTGAAAATATTGCTTCAGTTGTTAAGTCATCTAACATTTTATAAAAGTACTTTCACTTATCTTAGCCAAAGAGATACTGTTAAGACTATCCATAACATATTGACTCATAACTTGTTTCCGGAATGTATTTTTCTTCAAATGTATGTAACAAGAACACCTAAGGCTTCAAGAGGAAAAAATCTTTGAGATACTAAATTCAGTATTTTTCAAATCCATTTCAAGAAATTTTGAAGTTATTGTGGTTTTTGAGATAAGGTCTTGCTATGTAGTCTAGGCTAGCCTTGGACTCACTGTATGGCTCAGGCTGGTCTCTACTTTGTGATCCTCCTGCCTCAGTCTCCCATGTGCTAGGACAAGCATGTACAACCCACCTAGCCACCACCACAGTTTTTAACAGAGTAACTGTAACCACATAAAAGCCCAGCTTTCACCCCAGAATAGTGGCGCATGCCTATAATTCTAGCACTCTGGGAGGGTGAGGCAGGAGTATCACCAAGTTGAGCCCAGGCTAGGTAACTTAGACTCTGTCTTAAAATAAAAAGTAAAGAGGGGCCGGGGATTTAGCTCCGTGGGTCCACCACCTGCCTTGAAAGCACAAGGTCCCGAGTTCGATCCCCGGTACCAAAAAACGAAACAAAAGGGCTGGAGATGTAGCTCAGTGAGTATGTCCTGGGTTCAATCCCCCCTACTACACACACAAAAAGGAAAAAATAACAGGTCCGCTGTCATACACATCTACAGCACCTGAATGCCCACTGGGGGCCCAGTGGTCCTAAAGATGTGGGCTCCAGACCAGCAGTGGCATCCCTGGAACCTCAGAAATGCAGGTGCCCGGGCCCCAGCTCAGCTCCACTGTGGGAAACTGGGGCAGCCAGGGCTGGGTCTAAAGAGCGCCTCTTAGCCATGGCGACGCCCACTCAGGCTGAGCTGCTGCTGGCCCTCAGAGTGGCGCCCTCCTGCCTCTGCTCTGGGGCACACTGCCTCGCCTCTCCTCCCCACAGGAGCCCGCAGTGGGAGTGAGGTTCTCCCGGCTCACGGGTCAGGGCGGTGGCTGTAAAGTGGACAGGGAGAACATGCACCCAGCGCATGCACCCCTGAGTCTAAAGCGAGTGGCTTCTGACTTGGGTTCAGAGTGCTTTTCCAGCGTGCCCCACGGCCTTTCTCAAGAATTGTTTCTTCCTGAGAAATGCTGTGCGCTACCTTGCCTGCCTGCAGCCTGCTGCGCCCCCATCCGCTCTGCTCGTGTCTGAGGGCCACAGGTGGAGACAACTAGCACCACAGTCCCTGTCCCTGAAGGGTGCCCTCCTGCATGCCACTAGGGGTCACAACGCCATCACCCTCCATGAGCCCCTAAAGATTGCTGCCTGGCAGAGACCTGTGACACCCGACAATCTAATGCTTCACTTTCAAGGACAATATGAGCAGAAAGAAGGCCTGCGGTTCCACGTGTCCACGTAAACTCAAAACTAGAGCCTCTGAAAGTCTAGACCTGAGTGGGTCTGAGCCCGAGAAGCAGCGGCGGGTCTCCTCTGCCCAACTCAAGGAACAGAACGGAGCCGTGAGAGCACAGAAACAAAGCGCCTTGAGAATGAAACCTAAGTACAAAGCCAGAGGCGTCCTTCCCAACTACAGGAAAGAGCAGAAGGGTGGCGGGTGGGGAGTAGGCTGGCACGGGAGGAGGAGGAGCAGCACGCACACGGCATCTCATCTCAGCACAAGGGAGACACCGGGAAAGTAAAAACAGCCCTGAAGGTAAAACAACAAACAACTGGCAGCGAGAGAACAAAACTCGACTTAGAAATACGAGCAATTAAATTATTACATAATCACTATGTCAGCATATGCAACTCTCGAGGCTTTTTACAGAGTTCGACAGAATTTTTCCCTCAAAAGATATAACTAAGATTACACACTGAAATATAAAAACCAATCCAAAGGCTAGACAAAAATTAACAAAAAAATTCTAATATAATTTAAATGAACAAAACACTGCACACAACAGAGAAGGAAAAGCAACTCTTCCCACATATCGTTACCACAGATCCCATTTGGCAGGGTCCTCTCCTCGGCTCTCTGTCTGCTCCTATCACATTCCTGCCCCAGTACGGAACTTTACGAAAAGATGGCAAGTATTTTAAGCACCCTGCCTACAATTATTTTGACGCCTTGACCGGATCACCATCCCGAAGCGCCTGTTCACTGGCCAGAGCAGCGTCTTCCCTCCTAGACCCCTCACAGGTCAGGGTCACTCCGCCCACAGTACAGAGCTCAGATGCCCCCCCGAGACTGACAGGCAGTCCTGTACCTGTACCCCTGATGACAAAAAAGAGCACTTGTATTCTGCATGTCTTCCCCATTTCTCCTAGTAATTCTTTTATTTTATAAAAGTGTCAATCCAGATAGAGCAAAACATTTTACAGCTGAGCCATCAACACTATTGTGAGGAACAGCACCCTCAGACAGAAAAGTACAGTGGGCCCAAGGGTCCCTGAGGAGCCGACTCCCACCCACCTCCGGTCCACTGAGCCCTCTCTCACCCAGGCCACCCTGAGCTGGACACTCATCCCCCAGTAATCCCTGTCGCTCTCCGAAGGAGATGCCACTGTCATTTCGAGGGAAGGGATCCAGGACCCACGCTGCACTCGGGCCGGTCCACAGACGGGTCGGCCCTGTGCTGCCCTGAGGCCTCCACAGGCCATGTCCCCGCTCCTCTGCCGGCGTCCCAGGCTCACTCAGCCAGCTCGGCTCCCCAGGTCAGTATTTAATACTTAAGATGACTCCGAATGCTTTATGTTAACCAGTTAGACAAAATTCTAATAAAGTTCCTTCAAAAAGAACTTCATTGGGGCCAGGGATTTAGCTCAGTGGTTTTGCTGCCTGCTGAGCAGGCGCAAGGATCTGAGTTCAATGCCCGGTACCAAAAAAAAAGAACTTCATTAAACAGTTAACAACTGTATTGTTCTACAAAATTAGCTTTAGTGGATTTTTCATGCTTTCAGATTTTTTTATAAAAATCCTTGCATCCTCATTACTGTCAATCATCTGAGCTCATAAACATGAACTTGTAGAGCCGGGGATTTAGCTCAGTGGTTCCAATGCCTGCCTCGAAAGCTCAAGGTCCGGAGTTCGATCCCCAGTACCAAAAAAAAAAAAACCAAAACATGAACTTGTAGCAGGGCCAATTTGTTAAAAATTCATACCAACTTTTAGAATTAGGTCACATTTGTATCCAGCTCCAGCAGAGAGAGTAGCCAGTATGTCAGACACACAATACTTGTTGATATAATGATGTCACAATTATTCCTGAATTTTTTCAATGGTAAGATTAAATTATATAATCACGTTCTTGAGTTTTCCATAGTTACTGATTACAAATAATTTGTCAGTAGCTCATGTTTGGTTCTCAGTCTGGTTGAAAATTTTAAATGATGGTTTATAAATTCCTACCAGAGAAACAGAACTGATGACAAAAAGGCCTCAATCAACAAGGAAATGTTTCTAGCGCAGTCACTGCCTCTCTTCTTAGAAGACCCTTTTTGAGTCCTTTTCATGATGAAGTCTGATGAGCACAGAGCCCATGAGTACTGAGGGGATTCTCTTTGCAGCACCCCTGGAGTCTGCAGGTGCTGAGGCCCTGACCCTTCCCGGGGCTCTGCGAAAGCAGCAGGAGTGTGGAGGAGGCGCTGGGGCGCGGAGGCTCCCTCAGCAGGGCGTGGACCTGTGCTCATGGGAACCTGCTACCAACCACTGCTGAGTGCCCAGAAACATTTGATGTGGCAAGAAAAATACCAGACTTTTTCTGAGGAATGCATGTCGAAGTCGAGTGTGGTAGTGCATGCCTTTAATCCCAACAGTGGAGAGGCTGAGGCAGGAGGATCGCTGCCACTAATTAGAGGCCAGTCTGTGCTATACAGAGAATTCAAGGCCAGCCTGAACTATAATGTGAGACCCTATCTCAAAAAAAATAAAAATAAAAAAATAAATTAAAAAAATATATATAGATAAAAAAGAACACATGCCATATGATTTTAGACAGATTCTAAATGTTATTAGGGAGCAGTGTAGGTAATAAAAGGTGGCCTCACTCCCTATCCGAGTGTCACCTCAGGGACAGTCTTTTTGCCGGAAAAAAGTACAATGTCCAGGAGCTGGGGATTTAGCTCAGTGGTTCCGCCGACTGCCTCGCAAGCACACTCTCCCCCTCAGTGCTCACCTCCCATCTGAAGGCCCTCCCCAGCTGCACACTTGCGTTCAGCTGGGTCCCCTGAAGGCAGCCCCTGCCCACATGACAGCGTCACACCCTCCTTTGGCCTGGCCTGGCCCTCCCTCCCTAGCTACCCTCTCACCTTAACCCTAACCCACCCAGTCTGTGCCCCAGTTTTCTTCCACCCACTGGACCACATCCAGTTCATCCCACACATCTGCCAGACGCGTCTTCAGGAAGCCCTTGCTGTCTCCCACGCACAAGATCCAGGGCTCGGTAGGGCCCACAGCGGTGCCCTTGGACCTCACAACCCCTGCTCTACATGTTACCCTGAAGGCTCTGGGCTGTGCTCTCACCTGCCTGCCCTTCCTTATGTTCCTCCTTTCACCTACAAACCTTCCCATGGATTCTGCTCACCCTGGCACGAATGTCGCCTGACATCCCCAGGTGTGACATTCTTCCGGTCACCCTTCCCAGAGTGGCCATCACCGTGGGGCACACTCCTGGCTGTGACGGTCTAACTATGTTCCATATTGCGAAAGTCTGGTTCCTTTTAAAAACAGAAGAACAGGAGGCTGTGGAGTCACCGACAGCCTGAGCATATCACTCAGGAATCACAGGCACAGTCCAAGTGGCACCAAAGGCTGCCATGATGCCACTAAGAGGGTCAGAGGGGAACTAACTGATG